ATAGCTGCCCGGAGGCATTGTAGATATGGACGCTGAATGAACAGAGTTTCCTTGAAAGGGACTTTGCAGTAACTCAAATAACCAGACATTACAAATTAGATTTGCAGAAGACCATTGCAGATGGACTTCAGCAGCAGAAGGGAATGCCAGGTACCACTTCTGTCAGCTAAGAACAGGAAAATGAGGCTACAATTGACTATGCATGGGGCATTCTTTATAACTTCCGCATAAAGATAAGCCAGCTTGCAAACTGGTGTTGTGGTATTTTCCGGTTAGTGGGTGACACCTTCAAATCCATAGGCTCATGAGTCCTTGAGAATCTAATAGTTTTAAATAAACACAAACTTAGAACTAGAAGTTATTTAATTAATTTATGATGTATACAATACATGAAAATAAATGAACAATAACTTAAGTTAATGAAATAAAGAAGGCATTTAAATTACAGCATCATCAGCAGCTGAGCACTGTTGTGTCCCTCAGTGTTCGTCCTCAGTGAAATTCAGTTCAACTGTTTTCATACTTTCCCTTCTGACGTTCAACAGAGAAATAAATGGACAATACATATAAGAAGAGACAGTTTAATTATGTCTCATCATACAAGTACCTGTGCTATTCCCTTGGAATAATAATCCCCTTGGAGTGAGAAGGCTTGGGGTTTGGGAAAGGAGAACGAGACCAGAGAGTATGGACACTGGGGAAGATGCTGACCATATGGCAGGTCATTGAACCATCACTCAAATTCATGGATAAACAGAACAGGAACTGTAAACAGTGAATATGAAAAGCAAATTGCTGCCACAGTAGGCCTGTGCTATTATGACCAAGCTCTCCAGCTATAGAAAGTATGCACCCTACCATGTATTTGTTGTTCACCTTATGACCAACAATATCACATTAGAATTGATTGTAGAATGAATGAAAATAAATTCCACACCATCAGAAGTCTGTTGTTATAACTGTACTGTACATCTAGTATGGACTATATAATATGTAGTTATAGAATGTATCTGTCAGTCCTTACAGGCAATAGATGAACCGTTCCTCTTTCTGAACTACCTTGCCCTTGGTCTGAAGCAGAGGGATTAGCTAAGCGGTATGTGGTGCAGCAATCTACTGTCAGCAGAATCATTCTGGCCTGGAGCAATTGTCCGTACTCTGCTCTTGGTTGACCATGCATTTGGATGACACAAGACAAAATTAAGGAACACTTGCTATCAGAGTTTGAAGACTACCCAGAAACCACTACAATTCGGGACTTCACAGAGCTCTGGGGCCTCATGTATAAAACTTTACATAGATTTCATCCTAAATGTGTGCGTACGCACAAAAGCTAGATTTTGCGTACATACAAAAGTTTTCAGATTTATAAAGCCATGCGTACGCCAGAACCTGCGCAAAATGCCCTTTGTAATACCCAGTCAGTGGAAGATTGTGCATACATGAATCTCCACCCTGTCTCCTCCCTGAAATAGCCATATATGGAGCTTACAACGCCTAGTTTTAATATGCATAACGTCATCTGCTTATCATTTCCATGCATATTTCCATCCACGTGACACCATGTTTAACGCAGTTAAGGGTAGGCTACAACACGTTAGGAAAATATGAGATACGGACTATAAATGTGTTTTGAGACATCACTATTCTAATTTATGCAATTTGCCTGAAAGGTAAACATATATTTTCGAATGTTTATAGCCTATATTTTTATGGGGAAAAAAAATTGCAGTGTAAATAGCTGTCTGACTCACAGTGTCAATAACAAAACATTTTGAAAATAAAACGTGCATATCTTACAGTTTCCTTCAAATTCCTTCAATATGGTGTTTGTCACAATATTGGGAAGAGCACGAAAGGGGTTATCATTAGGCT